GGGGGGAGGGGAGGGGCAGTCTGTCACCACCTTTCAAAAATCTATGATAATGGGCTATGCACCTATGTATATGTACCTTATATATGGAGTGACAGGCTCAAGAAAGAAGTTTACTTAAGTAGCCTGTGTAGTCAGGGGACATGGAGCAGCCTAAAAAGTGGTGGGGGAGGGGGGCTATTTAAAGATTGGAAAATATAAAATACTAGTATTAGGGGAACAGGGAAAAAGTGCAGAAGCTATAGCCCCCCTGCCCCACCCCTTCTGCAGCCCAAAGTGGTAGTGGTTGGTTGGGTAGTGGGGGCAGGCAAGAGGAAAGAGATAGATTGCACCTACCATATACCAGTGATAATCATTATCTGTCTCTCATCTTGGAAGAACAGTATAATAGGACGACCCAAGAGTAGGTTGATCAGCAGAACTCCACTAAGATTTGCTATGAGTGTTGACACCAAACATGCAAGAGGATTGCTACGAGCAAATGTCAAGCCTATGGGGAAAACGGCATATTCATACTCTCCATCGAAGTACACAATCTAATCCACGATAATATATATTTGACAAGGCTAAATAGCAAATTTACATCAACATGGCCACTAACTAACTTCGTTTCGTTTCAGTTTTCTTGCAAATATTAAAGCCTTACCTTTCATTTACCTTGACAACCAATACAAGTAATTCTATTTTTACAAACCACGAAGCTTAATCCGAAAATGTTTTTTACATTCCGTCATCCCAACGAGTCGCAAATAGAAAGACACCAACTTTAATTGAACTTAACTCGTATTCAGCAGTAATTTCTTTGTTAAACAAACGAGGTGAAATGAAAAGTTTGATGGCAGCTAGTGCTTGTGTTCTTTTTGTGAATGTTTTTAGTCTTACCTATATTCCTTCGAAGTCCTAGTGTTACTATGACAAAGTGACCACATTGTAGGAGAGGAAACATAGGTAGGTTATAAAATCGGTGAGCAAAGTCATCGAATATTGTATAAAATTGCTCCATGATTGCTGGATCAGCACTGCTGTCTTTTCACGTTGCTTTCAAAAACACTGAGCCCGCAATTACATCCACTCAGCGGTTATACCATTACCCGCCAAAAAAGGGTACATACCCACACTGCATACTGACGTACACTTTTTAAGACGAAGTTTAAATAACGCTTTATTAAAAGATCGTTCTATTGTTAAGTGTCTTGTTATTATGATGCGTAAGGATAAAATTCAATGAACCTTCAATTTAAATAATCTTTAATTGAATAAGATTTATAGAGAAAAAAAAAAAATAGTGACCAAATCTTAGGGTTGATCTAGGGGGTGCTTTTTGAGATCTTAGAACCCCTTTCTACCAGGGAATTCCTCAAAGATAATTCTCAAAGTAACCTTTTACATTGCCTAGTGGTCTGTGGTTGTTGCGAGCATTGTTCATTTTCCCCGTCCCCTCCCCTCCCAACCACAACAGCAAAAACTGAAAACTACTGAAGAACACAAGCTACTTTTAGTACCMCTATTCTTGCTCTAATAATTGCTCACTTCACTCTCCAAGCTCATTGATCATCTTTAATCAGTTAGCAAGTGGTTTGACATAAATTTTAGGGGTGATAATAATTAGCTTAAACTTGTCCTTGTTATGAATCTTCTATAAGAATAAAAACTACATCTCGAAATATGCCAATAGCTTAAATGTCAACTGCTGCTTTCATTGTTRTCTTTTCTGTCAGTTTTTCGTGTGATATCAGATAACTCTTTTATTTTAAATCTTCTTTTGGTATGGATGATGCAGAATCCATGCTTGCCAAGATGTTACACCCAGTGAACACATGTACAATCTTGTAAGTGTATGCTTGAGCACCAAGTACTAGTAACACAGATGCATTCCAGTTATTTTTTTAGAGATGACATTGTCTTGTTGACAGCAGAACAGTTCATCTGTACTCTTTGCATCGTTAGTTTCCCAGCTTCAGAATCTTCGTTTCCTTTCCTTACTGTAGCTTGGCAATCAAGCTGCAGCATCTCAGAATCTAAGGGAATCGCGTGCATACCAGAAGACTTAAGCTTTTCTTGGAGGGTGTCAGTCATGTTGGATAAGCTGTTAAGATTTGCTAAAAATGATAACAAAAGTCATAAAAAAGCACTTAAAACTCGATCTCATTTATAGAACCGCAAAAGRCGAAGTGATACCAACCTCTAGCATCGTCAATTGAAAAATAACTTCCTGAAGACATCTGCCTGTGAAGTAAAAAGAGAAGGTCAAGAACAGCTGATGAATGCTTGGTTGAAGTTTTTAAGCAGAAAAATCGTAGCTAAAGCCAAGCGAAACCAGTTTCTGGTTTAAATATAGAGCATGGATACAAATACTTACATTCCTTTAAAAAACGTGTTGGCTTGTTGCTGTAGAGACTGTATAATGTCACTAACAGCTTCAAGTTCACTTTGGTTTGGTTTGGCCGCCATTTTGCATTATGAAGAAACTGCCGATCAATCATCGAATATCTCCGAATATATATATCGAATGAACCGAAACCGGYCGGGCCCGTCTCGTTGGGATTTCGGGATACGAAAAAAAAGAGTCATTCATTCCGAGTCAAGATGGCGTCCAACGAAGGTGTAGGAAATGTCAAAAGCTCTTAAACAATAACATTTTTTGCACTGTTTTCTTAACGAATTTTAAACTTTACCTTAAGTTCTTGAAGTACGTAGCCATGAGCTTCCCAGCTGGAGCGATAAAGGAGGCTAACAACCATATTCAAGCGTTGTCCAAGGCGAATATGGAGCTTGAAGAAAGAGTGAAAGAGCTATCGGGAGTTCTCCGAAAACAAAATGAAGCCCATGCAGAAAATCTAGCTGTACTTCCACTTCGAATGAAGCAAACTTTACTACAGAAGGATGAGGAAATTCAGGATTTACGAAAGACTGTCGAGAGACTCCAACTTGAATCCAATGAAAAAGAAATTATGCTGCAACACTATAAAAACAAGTGTAAAGTTCTAGATGAAGTTGCTCGTCATCGAGAATCTTTGGAAAGTATTTTGGCATGCCTGGATTATTTTAAAGAACCTGATTACGATGAGGGGAATAATAATCTTCCAGATGTATCAAATCAAGTGAGAGAGACTGATTTGACTAATGGTTATTGTGAATCAGAGGAAGAAGGAAGGCATCCCAAGGAAATCCCAAGGCCTAATCGAATTGACAGTGGAATTGGAGAGGAAAATGGCTATAGTAATGAGATTGTTGCACTTTAAATCCTTTCCATAGATTATGGTTTTGCTAATGGCCGTAATTGTTCTTCAGAAAGCATTTTTTGCTTGACAAATGTTTTACAATTTTTACCAGGGTTTTGCTCATTCATAAATTAAACTGTATAAATTAAAATATTCATTCAACAACAATTGCTGGTTCGCAATCATTCCCAAGAAAATAAACCTCAAAATACCAAAAGACATGGTGGCYATGTTGGATGATATTACACAATACACTTATGACTATTAATTTCATCAAACATGGCAGCTATGAAGATTAAAACAATAAGGCAAATATATTCTAATACTTTTTTATTTACAAACCAAAAAATCTATGTTCACTGGTTAATTTAATTAAATTCTAATAAACCTAGTTACCTAAAGAGATATGTATTTGTGCTTTTTATGTTAGAGTACAAAGTACAAATTAGTATGAGAGACCAGTCAGCCGTAAAAACCTACGTACATGAGCATTCCTTTAGACTTGGGAACTAAAAACTACTCAGGATAAACGAAATAAGAGTTTCAGTTTCTTGTGAATCTCATTGTTAATAATAACAAACACAATCTAATTGTTTTGGTTTATATGTAGATTAGTCTGTCATAGGAAACAAAAATATATGAATAAATAAAACAAAAGACTTGTGGGACTTTGAGTGTTTTTATACGCTTCAGCTATTCTTTTCATGAATGTGTTTTTTAAAGCTTTACTGAGCAACAATATTTGGCTCACATTTAGTACTAATTAGTGCTATTTAATTATAAATAGCAAGTTACCTATTTCATGGGTAAACTAGTTGCACTCTATTGAAAACTCTAAATAAGCCCAAAATTCATCTTATAAATGTCATCAATGTCATCATATCTAAACGAGTCTACCAAGATAAACTGCTTTGGGATATTTTTCTTGTAATTTCTGCCACTGAACAAAAAAGTGATCAGCAAAATGATAAAGAATTTGTCCTGAAAAGGACAATGTTTCCACTCGGCACATGCTTTCAACATAGACTATCATGACATCTTGTAAGCCAATAATCTGAAACAAATCACAAGAATGGGATAAAATATATTAGTTATCTTTTTATAGGCTTATTTGAGTTACACATTTTTCTATCCTTGACTGAAAACCTTTTGTTATAGAGGCTTTGCACCATCATATGCCGGCACCTGTAACAACTTGGAATGTCTGTGGTCAGATGGCAGAACAATAAAATCCATTTGCTCTCTGGAATTGAATTAATTCTCATGTAAAACAATATTGTATCGTTCCTGCCATCTAACATGGCTGCTGTCTTGTGATAGTGCAAAGCCTCTATTACTGAGAGTAGTCAGTTCATCTTCCCGTAAAGGTATTGATTATAATATAATTTTTAGACAAACTACCAAAATAAGTTCAAAACCTCATCTCTCCTTCTCTCATGGAAGGGACTGACATTCCCAAGGTGGAAATGTCCTATGAAAGTACCTCCATGAAAAAATGCAACTTTATGTATAATTAACTTATGTTTTACCTTCATAACAATAGCTGCAAAACACACAGGAATACAGGTTCCAGGGCCATTACAAATAACCTGTAAAGATACCAATAAAATTTAAAATGTAAAAGTTAGTCTAGAGGTGAAAGTTGAGCATATGCTACACCCATGATTCACATCAAGACATAACCCTCCAAAACTCAAAGCAAACACCAATTAGGTTCTTAAAAAGACTGTGCTATGAACAGGATAAGTGCTGCTCTCAAATCTTAATCTACTCATTAGTGGATTAAGGGTGGGGGTGGGGGGGGGGGTGTCCCCGATCTGTATGGTTTTCAAGTTCAAATCCCCTGCCTACCAATTCTGGTCTGCTCTTGAAAACCAACGGAAAGCAGAATACTGTAGCATAAAGAGTCGTAATGAAGGAAGTCAGCCATGATTGAAGCACTTCTCTACTCCTGGGAATGGTTTTAATTTCGTAACCTCTTGTCATCTTCTCATCCTGGAAAACAAATATTTGTTATTATGAAATAATAATTTCAAATGAGTCAAAGAACCAATGTAGCTAAATATTTGAAAGACGTTTTAATTAATGCATTACCATATTTTCTAGTTGTCTTTCTTTTTCGAATTCTTCTATCTTGTTTCCACTCATTTTATCTGTATCAGCAATGACATATATTCTGGGAGAGTACATGGATGATAATCCACTAACAAGTCTTATTATTTCAGTTGTGTGGCCACCTAAGAAATATCATACATTAACATTTTATTTACTAATTCATCAAACCATCCATCCCTCCATCCATCCATCCATCCCTCCATCCCTCCATCCATCCCTCCATCCATCCATTTGATCACTAATTCATTCATTTATTTATTAGTCCATTCATTCATTCATTCACCTGATCATTAACTATCATTCATTCTTTATTTATCTAATTCTAATATTTATTGTAATAATTCAAATATTAGATATCTGTATCAACTTTATATTGAGTGAACAAATTAGTATATTCAGTCATTCCTCGCAAAGAAGTTTAGGTTACAAATAGACTTTCAACCTTACCTGAACCAGCAATGATCAAAGTTTTAACTGGACTTTCTCGTTTACGGACATCCCTACGTCTTCTTCCTAAAACCCACCAAAGCCTTGCAACCACAGATAGTAACAAAACAACAAAAATACCAAGAAATACTTCAAAGAACACCATGTCTTCTTTGTCCGCCATCTTGGATTTTGATTTTTATCCGCTGGAAATACACTGTAGGCTCAAACTTCAATAGAAACAGGAAGCCCAAATATGTGGCTATTCCTACGTCACCGTACGGCGACTTGCTACAGAAGGATTCACGAAGTCAAAAATTTCGTCGATTTTCTCGGAAACACTGTATTCTTTTCCAACCTAATAACAATATTTTGTTTAGACCAGTTAGGCGATTCATATCAGGGATGTTATTTTTGATTCAAACTTATTTGACTCAGTAGCAAGCAACTCACTACGAGCAGACGTGTTTTTTGAAGCTCCGTTTAGTCAAAGGACTGTATACAATCTTTGCTATACAAGGCTATCAGGCCGGTCTCTCTTCAAGATTAGACAAAATATTAAGAAATTAGACAAGGCAAAATTGAAAACTCCTACCTTTAGTAATGGATTCATTTCTTGGATTTGAGATCTTACAGGAGCTGTTTTTTCCCGGGGCGGGTAATACCACCCCAACTTGGGTAGGGGGTGTGCCGCCAAGATCTCAAAACCCTGACCCTATCCCAGACCTAAAAATTTGATTTTACATATCCTATCCCAGACTAAAAGAAGGAAAATACCGTTTTTCAACAGATTGCAATCAATATTTATTAACGTTTTTATTGTTTTTGTGCCGGCAGAAAGCGTAGCTTATTCGCCAGACAAAAATGACCAAATCGTTAACCCTATCCCAGACTAAAATGATACCCTGTCCCAGACAAAATGTCAAAAAATGATACCCTACCCCAGACCCAAAAGCCGAAAAACCAAACCCTATAGGGCGGCACATACTCGTATAGCAAATATAGGGGAGTACCCCCCCCCCCCCGGGTGTTTTTTTGCCTGTGTATAAAGAATTATACTATCAGCCATACAGTACAAAAGTTGCACTGAAAAAAGAAATATTTTTGGCATTAAGTGGATGACTTATATTGGAATTGTCTTGTGAACATTATGTAATGTATCCAAGTGGATTGACCTTAGATATCTAGGGAAATACTACAAAAACTTGAACAGGAGGTTGATCGAGTTGACAAATATAGATTTCCCGCAGTTTTATGCAGTGACCTGCTTATTGGCCAGTAATGATGAAAAGGTAAATTATACACCGTGAAAAGACGAAAAAGCTCTTTTACTCCGACGAAGGACTAGCGTCCGAAACGTCAGTAAGTTTTTTCATCTTTTCACGGTGTATAATTTACCTTTTYATCATTACTGTTTCATTAGAAACACCGACGCAGCTCACACTAGTTTTTAGCTAGTTATATCTGCTTATTGGCCAGATTATTTTGTACCCAGGCTGTACGCGTAGCAGATTTGGATAGGCGCTATATAAATATTGATTATTATTATTATTATTATTATCATTATTATTATTATTATTATTATTATTATTATTATTATTTACCTTCAGACAGGATCGGTAAATTCGTTACACTTTGACTACGGGAGTCGTCAGAAATTCTATTGCGTGACATTTCCCGCGTGACACTGACCGGCCTCAGACTACACGAAAAAAATTCGTTAAAATATATCAGTTATCTTAAGCCATAAGAAAATACCTTGGTTTTCAAATCAAATTCCCTTAATTTTCTTGTCTAAAAAAATGTAGTATGAATACTTTCATCTTTTTTTCAAGGCTCTTTGTTGTGAGTTCGCTGACGACTGTACTGCTGGCTCACGATCGAAAATCTCACATCATATAAATAATTCACTGATCGACACGTGATAGTGATCTTGGTCATCAATAAACCTTTGTATGTGTCAGTCTTCTTATATTTTATGGATTGTCACGGTTCTTGAGATTTCTAAGACGGAGGGAATTTCAAATTGCTGACAAGAATCGTATTCACAACCCCAGAGATGGATTCAGGTAATAAAGTATAAAGATTTTCAAGCTGAATTGTACATGATCGTTATGACCGCTTTTGCAGGTCGACAAGGTTGTTTGGAAATCTTTTCTCTAAGGGTATGAATGGGTTATTTACAAGGATTTATTTGACGCCTTTTTATCGTATCCCAAACTACTTGTCATTACGTTTAGTTGTCTTGTAATGCTGTTTAAGTGTATTGCATTGCAGTGTAACCCTGGGGTATCCCATTTGGAGTTTCATTCATAGTTATTGTTCTCGAAGTCCAGTAGATCACTATGTGAATTGCTTAATTATTGGACTTCTTTGGATGCACTAGTCAAAATGTTTCCTCATCCCAGTAGTTGGGATTAAAATTGAATAAAGTATGCATGTATTTTTTTCCTTTTGTCTTCCTCCTTCTTCCCTTCCTCTCCGTTTCATCTTTCCAGCCTTATTTGTAGCATTGCTTATAGTATAGTATTATTTATTATCATAATGACTATTACTATTAACATCGTCATCGCCACCATTATCACCACCACCACCACCATCATCATCATCACCACCACCATTATCATCACTGTCATCACCACCATTATCATCACTGTCATCACCATCATCATAATCACCATCATCATTAATATCATCATTACCGTCAATGCCATCATCAAACCTACTTGCATAGGTCTGTATCTGTCTGCTCATTATCGTGGTCATAGGCTAATGCATGCATGGAGTACAGCGTTATCCCTGCATTGCAGTTGCTCTATTTCACTATGACGTCGCTGCTTGTTTATATGGGAGATAGAATCGCCAAATCCAATRAAAGATTCAACAAAATTTGCTTCTAGCAAAACAGTATAATCAAAAATGTCTGGTTTTCAGATAAAATATGTGTTATTATGTACTAAAAAATATTCTGAGTGTTTGCTGGCTATTCTACTTCTCTTCATGGATTGATACGGGTTTAAGAACAATTTTCGGTGAATTTGTTTGCGTTGATTTGACCCTGTCAAATCAACGCAATTTGACGTCAATTTGACCATGATCCTTTGTGTTTAAACAATAGATTGTTGAAGATTGTTTGATGTGACGTCATAGTGAAATAGGGCAATTGCTGGACTTATAATGTTTGTAAATTAGTCAAATACTGCTGTGTTCCTTGATTACAGACTTATTCATTCAGGGTTAAATTCTCTTTTCTGTGTCTTAATATTCACAATAGCCTACAGAGGCTGAAGTGAATCAGCTGTATTCATAGGCTATATTCACAAAAGATAATGGAAAGTAAAGAATGCACAACTTCAATCATATTAATTCACTTTGAGATTCCACTGACATTTTGCTGGAATGCATTTTGTTTTTATTACTGAAGGTAGGAATTTTGTATATGGAACATTATTATATTTATTTTTTTATATATTTATTTATATGAATTTTTTAAATCTTAAAATATATTGTTCAAGGCCTACTTAAAAACCTAATAAAATAAAAACACACAAAATTTCCTCAGAATAAATGAACAATAATAGAAAAATGTGTGAAAATCCGCAGTCAAATTTTTAGCAGATTGACATCTCAGCAGATTGACATTCTCTCAACTTGTATGTTTTTTTTGTTATATGGATTCCTGTGGTTTATTATTTCGAAAGAGCCTGGTAAAAAAGGTTATTTTCGATCTCAAATAGACGTGTTATTAAAAATCTTTAAATCCTAATCCTCTAGATATTTGAAACTTATATTTTGTGCACTTATTTATCAAATTTGCCGTTTATCCCTAACTCTTAGTTTTAAATTATTAACGGGGAGCACATTGCGAGGAGCAAGTAACTCGACCGAAATAAGTAACTTAGAACATATTGCGTGACTTTACAAATGTAAAATAAACATGACACGCCAAAGTAACGTGAAAAGGGCTAAAGTCCAGTCGACTTGATCGCACTTCCTTTTTCATAAGGTGAGTTTATCTTTAGAATTTATAATCAATTTTAGTTATTTTTCTTGTAGTTGTTTGCATGGAAGATAGATTTCCGTACTGTGCAAATATAGGGCAATATATTGGCTCGTCCTTTGTTAGCGTAACAAGTACCTCGTACAATTTTCATAGTATTCGCCATTGGAAATATAAGAAATAAACAAATTATCGACTCGGATTTTTTCATTGTTTTTAAACTTTATTATATTATTGTACACTTTGCAATTTATATTATTACGATATTGCATACTCTGTATTTCGTTTTATTGCGTTTTAGGAGAGAAAGGCAATGGTCATTAATTGGTGTCGCGTATCAGTTTCAGTATATATCCGCTATAAATGCTTACGTTTTTTGGGATATAACTACGCTAAATAATAAAAAAATTTCTATGCATCCAGTCGTTTTATCTTTTCTTTTTTTTATTTGGGCAACCGCTTTGATCTTACTGGCGGTCTATAGACCCACAACTGGTAAGTTTTACTTAATATTTTGTTTTGAATAAACAAAGGAAAATTAACGATTGCATATTAATTTATATTAAACCCATAACGTGTTTTTCCCGCGATTTGATATAATGTATATGATTATTAACTTGAATAAAGCTCAAAAAATGAGTGGCATGTGGTCTAGAGAAAAAAATTATCTGAAGTGTGAAAAGGGTTGGATTCAAAATATTATTAATCATTATTATTTATTAATTAGTTTTTAATCAAGAATTCAGAAGAGTCATTCTCTCACTCTCTGTCCATCTGTCTGTCCATCCATCTGTCTGGCCATTCATCCATTGTTTGTCTGTCTGTCTGTTGTCAATCTGTCTGTCTGTCTGTACATCTGTCAGTCTCTTTATATGCTTTCTTTCTTATTTCAAACTTGCCTACCAGCAGAGTGGTGAACATGATGCACAAAACATATATAAGCAAAATGACTAGCTTTAAGCATTTTTTGAGCTTAAAAGAATGAAGCAAATTTGGCAGTAAAGTGAAATTGTTTTCATTCTTCTTTTCCATATTTCTGCTTCTTGTAGGCACCTATATAATATTTTAGTCAAAAAAAGCAAAAACAAAAACAAAAGAAACAAAAGAAAAAAAARCACAGAAAAATACTCAAAAGTTGGGTTACCATAGTATGGGAATGAGGGCTGTCAGCAAAAAAGCTAAACGTGCTGTGATTGGCTGAAGCAAAATTCACTGCTGAGCTGGTAGTCAGCTGGTACGGGACTAGAGCTGTAAACTATAAACTAACTCTTCCAATAAAAGCGAGAACTAATGCAGGCAAATGCTGTTTCTCTTTTCTAGCTYGTACTGTCTGGAATAGTCTTCACACTAATTCACTGAGCCAAAATAGTCTTAAGTCATTTCATTTTCAGACAAAGCATTTTCTTGATAATTTAAATTCATCAACTGAAGTAAATCTAAACAGACTATAATATAGAGTACAAACACACAAAGTATGCAACATAAATATCACCAAATAATGTTATTTTATGCTAATTGTTTTCTTTTGTTTAATTAGTGCTGTTTACTGCTAAATAGTGATAACTATTGCACACATTTAGTGTTTGTACTCTATTTTGCATTGTACATAATTGTAGATGTTTAGATGTTTATAGGTGAATTTAAAGATACTCTATTGTAATCCATAATTAGTGGGCCAGATTGGAAAAAAGCCTTGCTTTATCTGTTTACCCAATAAAGCTTATTATTATTATTATTGTTGGTGTTGATCCATTTGCCCAGCTTCCTTGTGGAAAGGACTACACTCATTTGAAATGATATTACTATAGTATGATTATATGGTAGTATTTTCTCTCCAGTGTTTCAGATTATATTTTGACTAGTGCATCCCTTACCCAAATGTTTGTAGATTCTAGTAATGTTAAGGCTCAGGTCAAATGTCAAACTTCACTTGAGCCAAACCTAATAGACCCTTTTCRAGTTCCAAATTACAGCTGTAATCCTTGGTCACAGACTCATTTACTCAGGCTTAGCCTCGATTTTGTGTAGAATATTCACATGTTTCAGTCAAGGTCCATCGAATTTCAAAGTGTTTGTATTGTTGGAGTCGTGCATTCTTTACTTTACCATTGGTATTTGTGGATATTTAAACACTGATGCGAGGCTAAACCTGAGTAAATAAGTCTGTAATCAAGGAACACAGCAGTAATTTGGAACTCGAAAAGGGTATATTACATCAAAGAATACTACCTTGTCATGCATTTTTTCAATTAGGTTCGGCTCTTGAGAAGTTCAACGTTTGACCTAAGCATAAGTTACATTCATTCTGCATTAATTACTTCATACTGTAACAGAAGATGATATTTGTAATTCCTGTGGATGGTGTAATAAGGTAGAGTGAAAATGCCTCAAAATATAATGCAAGAAGTTGAAGTAATCCCTTTTTCTTTCTTTCAGAAAAATGGCCCATATCTCTAGTACTCAGCGATGCAAAGTTATACATCATCACAGCAATTGGGAGCTTYATCAGCTTTTCATTCATAACCTGTTTTATAAGCCCATTGATTTCAAGATATTTTAAATCATATAGCAGCCTGTCACCGTCTCAAAAATGTGACTGGGAAACAAGGTAGTTTGTGTACTCTGCATAATCAATCAGACTTAATCAGGTCCTTAAGAATCCAACAAAATTAGACAAATTGCAGAAACTATGTCTTTCCAACCACAACACATACATACATTTTTCCGTTCAAAAATCCTTATGAAATATAGTCTATTATCTTACTGTGCCATTTTTCATTTTCATTTTCATTTTCAATTTCCTATTATACTTTTTTTAATTCGTTTTCATTTTTTATGTATTTTGATTTATTTACTATTTAGAATATTATTTCACATGTTATGAGCTGAAACTCAACCTTCTCACTAATACTGAATCTTTTTTTATGACCCCACTGCTCTTTAAAAAGGGTTTAGGGTCATATGACCTGACACTGCAAAGACATCCACTAAACAAATAATTATTATTCTTATAGGATTGCTTCTAATATTCATGCCATTATTGTTGGCTTTATTTCACTTTACTGCTTATTCTTCGATGCTGCTACAAATGCAAATCCCATATGGTAAGTACTGTACCTCCTGCCTTTAATTAAAGAAGCAAGGGTGGCGTAGCAGTGAGAGCTGTCACCTCTCACCAAATGCAACCCTGGGTTCGAGTCCCACTGAGCTCTGTGCCTTATATGAGTAGAGTTGCTTGTTGGTTCTCTCCTGTGCTTCGAGGGTTTTCCAGGTTCTCCAATTGGAATCCAGCGTAAGAAGAGCCACTCTGTGAAATCCACTGTTAATCCCATTATTATCATCATCATCATCATCATCATCATCATCATTATTATTATTATTATTATTATTATTAAGACTTTTATATAATATTTACAGTTTGAATTTTCACTTTCAGGAATGATGCACCATTGGTAAGGATAGGAATTTCCATTACCATGGGATACATAACTGCAGGTATGTCCTTCACCTTCAACACTTGTTCTTTACCTTCAACTAATAATCTTTATAAATCAGTTATTATCATAATAATAAGAGGCGAGATGCTGCAAAGTGAAACAGATCAGACGCAAATATTTTATATAAATCACTTATCAAATGTATAGTGGAATAAAATGTCATGTTCTACTAAAAAAATTGAGATTTGAGTGATCATGAGTTTGACTTAGGAAATCTTTTTTAATGTTGAATGGCAATGCAGACGATTCTCTATCTGATTTACAGACTTCTCCTGGGTGAATGATATCTATTGTGTTTTGCCTAATTAATGATTAATAATTTGACAATAATAATTATAGTAATCATTCTGAATACCTTGCTTCGAAGAGGTGCAATTTCTTTGCAAAAAAGTTTTGATTGTGAATATTTTGCAAATCGAAGTGTTGTAGCTGATAAACCCCATACTAAGTATTTTAAGTAAAGTCTTTTTATTGCAGATTTTTTCATAATCTTGTACAACTATCGATTGATTGGAGATAACTTCATGCTTGTACATCATTTGATGGCAATGACTGCCTATATATTTGTTGTCGTAAGTATTTTTTACCATATTAGAAAATCCCGCCCCACAGGCCTTTGAGGCGGGGATGTCAACATGTCAATATTTATCATCTACATATATACATCAAATGATGATAAAAATATCACAATGGAAATTGACTCATAGAGCTGTCAATAAGTTCATAATACCAGTTTTTATTTCAAACTTGGAATATGATAGGATAACACGATCATCTTACGATAAACATAACGCATGGAAACTGCTCCAGGCATGTCTCCATAAAAGCATAATATTTCTCATTTCAAGAATCTTAGTAGTAAGATTTTTTCATAACATAACCTACATAACATTAATGTTGTCTTGATCAGGCTTGCCATCGCCAGGACTTTGGGAAAAAGGGGTTAATCTTTGCCATTTTACATTTGAAGTAATGTCGAATAAATGGGAGGAAAAAGGGAGGTTCATTCATACCCTTGTTAACCACTCATGGTTATGAGCCCATTGTTAAAGCATAAATTTWAAAAAATGCATAATACTCAAGAGAATGACACATGGTCTGGAATGGCTAAAAAGCTCTGTCACTATCTCTTTCATTTTTCTCACTAGATATTTGGCATCTTGCCATTCTTTGCGAACTTTCGACAGCTGGCTGAGTTGTCTACTGTGTTCGTCAACCAAAGGTAATCTTTAACATTATATGCCCTGTTTCATTATCCTCCATATAATCCAATTATTAATTATTAAATTAACCTTGACACCTTAATAAATGTTTGATAACAAATTTATAATCTGAATTCAGTGACCATAAATAGAGTAAAGAAGTGATAATGTCACAAAATGTTTTTAAAGAACTTTAGAATTCTGGTGAGGATTTTATAAGAAGTTTAGGAATTTTTTTTCAAATTTTGGAAATTGGAGACGTCACACTTTAGCTCCATTTTCTAAGGTGGTATATATATTTACACCTCTTTTCTACCCAGAAAATACTACTACTTCTTACTTAAATTATTAAAATAATAATAATAATAATAATTAATTATCTTATATATGTAGATGGTATTATTCAGTGATTGGTCAACCGCACACTTCTCGCAGTTTTCTGGCCAACGCCTGGTTGATGGTAATATCATTTTTCTTTGCGCGAGTAATAGTCATTCCATACTACTACTACAGGTGTTATATTGCCTGGGATACGCCCGAGAGAGAAATGCTAGGTGTTATAGCCCAGACACTATGGATTTTGACCAGTTTGGTGCTCGACGTGTTGAATGTGTATTGGATGGGGAAAATGATTAGGGGAGGAATAAAAATTTTAAGTAAACCACATAAAAAGAAAACGTAGATTAAAAACATTACACTGTTAAAAACAAAGAATTATCAAAATTATCCTAAAATATTATAAACTTCCAAAATTGCAGAAACAATTGTTCAACCAATTTCTTAAAAATATTTGAACTTCCAAAATTGAAGCAACAATTTTTCGACTAATTTTTCTTAGATTATTTAAATGAATCATTACATGTTTCTTGAGTGTTGGCACTGTTTTGTAGTAAAATTTAAGAGAGAGGGTAGGCCAGTCTATGTCTTGAAATTGATTTGGGTGGTGGTGAGGGAGAAAGGCGGAGTAATTGATCATACAGGAAAAACCCAAGGTTGGCTATCAGAGGTTCACCACTGTTTTTATTACTAGTGTTGATTGAGACAGCAGTCGCGTCATGGAATTCGGACAACACACTGCCGTCAATCAAAGAAATCATTACAATAATTTTCCATGTACCTTTTCACACTCCCCTCGTACCTTCTCTATTTTTTTGATTGACAGAAGTGTATTGCCTGATTTCCATGTCGCGACTGTTATCATGATCAGCTCCTAGCAATGAAAACAGTGAATAGGTCCTATTACGTTGGTCGTAATTTTTTTCCCTTTCTTGTCCATCAATAGAAGTTAAAACGCAAGCAAATCGGGATTCACGTAAATTACAAACGTCCTCCTTTAAATATATATAAATATTGTAATATTTTATTGTTTAATTATTAGATCATTTCTAAGATGATTGATTGATAAATGTATGTGTTGATGCAACTTCTTTGACTATTTAACGAAAATTATTATAACTGATTGGTGTGAAAATACGTGTTATGACATGGATCTTATTAAACGATAGAAATGGAAAACTTTTTGACCTGACTGCAGAGTGCTCATATACCTCATTTATTCCTTCGCCTCTCTCTCTCTCTCTCTCTCTCTCTCTCTCTCTCTC